TCACGCTTGCTGTAAGTAAGGTCCTTTATTTGAACACAATTAGAATGAAAGCATTACATGCTTGAGGGGTCGTGTGTAACTAGCTAATTGCTGAGTAACCTCCGTGTAAAAGTGGATAAAATATATATGATGAATAATGAAAAACAAATATAGGACAATACAAAATGTACTTTTTTAATTTAAGATAATTTAAAATTCCGGATCTGACATCTTCTGATTTCCCTAAAAGTGGGATCAGATTTCACTTTTCTATAAAATAGCTTAAACTACAAGAGTCATTGAAATTATCTGAGCCAAAATTCCAACCAAAGCGCCTTTATAACGAATAATTTACAGGATCTGTTATAGACGCGCCTCTATAACTGTTGGTTGTAAAGCTTTAGTTTGGTAGCCTACGATTACCTTTCACGTACCACATGAGCGAGGGTGGACCTGTAATAGATTGTCTCCAAGTGGACAAACACCATTTAGAATTTCTTTTCTAGAAGTCCTGACGCTTCTGCCTCCATACAATCCACATCGATACAACCAACTCAACAGTAGGGAATCTTTTTCCTTCATAGGTCCACATGCACAAGACCCAATTGTCGAACACTTGGAAGTTCTCGCGCGCAAATCTTTTAATACAACGTTGATCTGCTTGGTTTATGAATCCGAGGAAGGTTGTCCAGATGACTTACGATGGTACGCCAATGGGCGGCCTCTGAGAAATAGTGGAAAGTACGAAATATTAGAGAAGAAAACTCAATCCAAGTGCAAGAGAGAATTTAGATTGACCATTTTTAACGTTACGAAAAATGATGAAGGAAATTACAGCTGTCACTGGATATGCGAATACTTTGAGGATAAGATAGCTACCATTAAGTTGAAAGTATCTGTTGAGTCTATCACTGGTAAGAGTTTTCATGTTAGTCTATTATCATCAGTCTCCTAAGACTCGTTAACTTTCTTTAAGTTTCGCCTCCATCTTTATTGTTGTTTTCATATGGGTAATCTTTCGATCTAAATGCTTTCGGGAAAAACGTTTTTCTCAAATTTCTCAATTTTACATCTTGAGTACGAAGCTTATCTTTATGTCAGTGAGTGTTTTATGTCAGTTTTTCTTCTTTGGAAAATGTGTAGCTGCTGTTACCATCAAAATTTACCGCTACGATTCTCATATTGATCGCCATGAAAGATTAAAAATGGCTTTTCCGTTTTAAAACATTTGCTTAGTTAAATGGGCAAATATAGGTATTGTGGAACTAATGAAGTCACTAACCCAGTTATGTAAAACCAACCTCTACAACAAGTAAATAAAGAGGTTAGTTTCGCTCAGTGTGGTGCAGAAACCGTTGAAACCTGGAAAACCACTCGATAGTTTTTGAAAACCCAAGGTTACGTAGAAACTGCGTTTTCTGGGAAGAAATCTTTGATCCCCCTAACCCACCCTACAGAGCAACTTCGCTCTTCTATTAGAATGTACTAAAACGATGAATACCGTTGAAGTCGCGCTATGGTTGTCTACTAAAACTCGGAATATCCTTTGGTAATCACCTATGAGTTACGCGCGTGGGATTTGCACCCGGAAGTATTTTAATCGTTGCGGGAATAAATGAGTTAAAATCATCTTTTTGTGCTATATAATCTAAATTTTTTAGTATTAACATAATAAACAACTATTTACTCCAGTGTTGGTGGCTTGCGAAGGATATTTACCGCGCCGCTTCGTGGATCGGTGAATATCCACCATTAGCCAACTCCATTTCGGTGAGTAGTTGTTAATTATTGTTACTTAGATTAATAAGAATACTTTGGCAGGCCTCAAAGTACGAAGTCTATGAATGGGGCATTACTTTATCCCATGCCTTTGTTTTTTAGCTTCTCAGTCACCTAGAGCGAGTGCATTTTGTGCATGAAAGGGCGGTTTCGATGTCTTTTTTTCGTTGAGCATTTTGTAACTTTCATTCCATTATTCAGACCCACCAACAGTGGTTAACGTTTTGACTGGCCCCTTATATCCACTTTCAGGTCAGTAAATCATAGATATTACATGGTGAATTAGAATAATAAATGATGGCCTAAACATAGGAATAACGATATAAGAAATAATCGGCCATGAATATTAGAACGTTTCGAATTTAAAATTGGGAATGAAATAAATAAGTATCAGTAACTTTCTGTAAATCGATAGTTGCATGCCTCAGTCATTGCGGACACAGGCCATGGGACTTTTTATCACAAAATTACAAAACTTGATTTAGACTCCATGGTAGATTATCACCTTACAAAGAAATATGTTATTGCTCAACAGTACTCTAAAATCCTAGTTTCAACAGATCATTAAACGTTTTTTAAGTTGTGGTTACTTTGAGTAGACAATCACCTTGCATGTGTATAAAGGTGTACTAGGAAGGATCATGGTTTTTTTAATCAAGCCATTATTTGTTGTATGGTTTTATTAATCTGCAGGACAGCGCAAAAAGTGGCTATTGCCGATCATTATTCTGGCAGCGGTAGGTGGCGTTGCTGTTTTCATGGCAGCCGTGCGGTTCGGAGTGAAAAAGAAGTGGACATCATCTTACGAACTTGAAAAGTGTAAGTTAGGAATATATTAAACCAAAGTTCGTCGAGTGATGAATATTCAGGGTCGTAAGAATCAAATATCAACCAGTTCTACTGTGACAAGAACAACTTAAAAAAATTTCCAGCGTATACAGTTAAATGTTGGAATGTTATTCATCACTGTAAGTGTCAGAATGCGCCACATCTCAAAAAACTCCTCAAACTGGGTCTGAAAAGTGAAGCTCAACAACGGCAGTTATATTCGTTAAAACTGTGTAAAATTTTCCTGGGTATTGACTCCTGTGGAAACTGTAAAAATCCTTCATATTATTCCCCCAAATAAAATTATGGCCCCCGAACCAGAGCACACCTTCCCCTTATTCTCTGAGCAAAGCTCCGCCGATAATGTCCATGGTTAGATGCTAACTTTAACAGCTGAATAGGTTCTAGGGTCGTTATTTTCTTTTTGCTTATAGATGGGTTCAATGATGAGGTGTTGAAAAATCAACTTTTTGTCAGCTACAGCTCAAAAGACGTTTCCTGGGTCAATGAGTATCTCATTTCACTGCTTGAGAAACACTCAATAGCCTACAGCATTCATAGCCGGGACTTTGAACTTGGCAAGCCCATCGTTCAAAATATGGCGGACAATGTGTATGGTAGCCGTCAAGTAGTAATTGTTTTATCACAGAATTACCTTGCCAGTAACTTTTGCCGTGAGGAGCTACACATGGCTTTTCAGAGGGGGATGGACACGGGAGATTCTTCTGTGATTCTTGTAATGATCAATAACTTGAGGAAGAAGCAACTGCCTGCAGCCTTAAGAGACAAGCGTCTGTTGGAGTTTGAGAAGCACAACAAGAAGCAAGAGTGGGAAGAGAAAATTCTAAGCGAGATTTTAGATTGGAAGACAGACAATGTCTAAAGAAGTTAGTGTGTTAACAAATTTTAAATTCTAGAAACCTTCATTGGGCCGGCTAAATTAGCTTGAAGATTTTTTTTTTCCAATTTTTATTCTGATGCCGGATGGGATCAGTTAACAGCGCGAGAGGTTCATGAATTATCTCTCAGTCCCATGCTCAAATCATTGAAGTATGAGTGAAATTGTTCAGCCGCCATTAGATTATTCAACGAGAGGAATCGTAATTGAGGGCCAAACTGTTTTGATTAGTTGGCGTCAGAACCCACTGACCTCATCCCAGTCTACATATCTGGGCATCGTCGTCGTTCCACATTTATCCACCGCCATATGACGCGAAGTATTCACTTCCGTAAACTTCCGGTTAGCATTTGCTTACGGTTTTTTACTGCATCATATGAAGTGATTTTCAGCTGATGAATATGCGATTGATTCAAAACTCTTTTGCATAATTTGATTGAGGCGATTAATACAGATAAGCAGTGGCTGTTTATGACACGATCCTTTTAATTGAGAAGTAAAATAACAAGGCAGAGTTACTGGCGTGGGTGTACTTTTTTTACGTTCTTTTCTCTCCCTTGAGCCGTTCGGCTTGGTATTTGCACCTTCTAACTCCTTGAGGGGCAATGGACGCAAAGGTCCAGAGGAAGACGTCACACGGCGGAGCCAGTGAGAAAGGAAAACGAGCAAACTGCTCAACCCTTTCCACTTTGGCATCAGTACACAAGTTCTTCACACTGTTCTCTGTACAGTTCCTACGAGGAATTTGTCAAACAATCAAGCGCTTCTTTAGTTCAAGATCATCCCTTTATTCTCACGAAATTTATGTTTGATTCAGGGGTAACCCTGTTTGGGAGAAATTAGATGCTTATCACTCTAAGGACTCTTCGGGTGTAAATTGTTAAAGTGCAAAAAGTCGCCATTGGTTTTTAGTCTGCATCTGATTGGTCGAAAGGGTGGTGACGAAATCGAAGCATACCTGGATCATTCTCAGTAAACTTTAACACTTCAATAGACTCCCAAAGCAACATAAGCATTAGCAAAGTCCAGCCACGAGTCCGAATTCATCATATCTTTAAGACGTCTGGCTAATTCTACTTATCCTTGTCCGTCCATAGGACTTCCTTCGGAGGTCTTTTTTGACTTTGTAATCCATTTGCTTCATTTCTGGCCAGTACTCACTGTGGATCCTTAAATATTTTACCACATTTGTATACACCGACTCGTCGAGTTGAAAATTTCGTTATTTAATGATAAGGATTGTTTGTTCGAGTTTGATTTGAAAATCATCCAATCTTTATCGCACAAACGTACGTAGGTTAGAATGACTGTTATGGCTCCTAGCGTTTGTTTCTTTCCTTTTCGTGACTCGCTTTGTTAAACTTTAGGCGGGGGTAGGATATTGGCAAACCAGTATGCTGACAGTCATATTCATTTAGTTCGATTAAGAATTGCCCTGAATATCCGAGCGTCCTCAACATTGTCCATCATCTGACCTCCGATTTTTACTTGAAAAAATCATTACAAAGAGCGAAAAACTCATCGGATCCTTTTACTATTTCTATTTCTTGTTTCGTATATTAATTGATACAAAAGTACGGAGTTCCTCCGAGAAAAACGCACTCCAAATCAATCTGTATTTTGGAGTGCGTCACTCGCTTATTCACTCTTCGTCATGGCCACATGCACCTTTTCGCTCGAGTTCTTGTCCTCTTGTGAAAGTTCTTCAAACAGTGTTTAACTCGCAGACGAAACAAATAAGAAAAGTGTAATTTATTGTTATCAACTGAGTTGAAAACGTAAATTGGCCACCCTAAAGAGTTAAAAGGCTGACGTTTCGAGCGTTAGTCCTTCGTCAGAGCGATGATAAAAGTGTCTCTTGATAGAGTTATCATAGAGAAAGTTACATTACTGTTACTGAATTGACCGGAACTGAGTCTAAAATTTTTGATTTGAAGAGTAAATAGATGACGGTTTCAAATCTTCAGTGTGATTTTACAATTGGAATTTTTTTTAGTCACAACCGTTCTGACCAATCCTGTGTCCAACCTGTCCGCCAGCTACACTGTAGTCTCGTGAGAAGTGCCTCCCCAAGAAACTCCCTTGGAGTCTTTGTCAGTGCCATTTCCAACTTCATGTTTTCACTCCATACATAGGATTCATAAAGGTCGTGGTTGTTGGCTTAAAGATCGGATTTTCAGCCTGGTTTTTTAGACAAAAGGATAGGGAATGCTATGGCATTATTTCACATGACCACAGTGCTAATATGATTAACTAAAGGACTGATTACTTGACTGGTTGACTGACTAATAGATTGACTGCCTGATTCTCTAATAAACAAACTGACTGACTGACTCAGTAACTGACTGACGGATTGACTGACTCAGTGTTTGATACATTGATTGGCTGACTGTTTAACTGAATTTTTGACCGACTCTCTCATTGAGTGACTCAGTTATTGCCTGACTTACTGATTGAAAGATCAGTTAGCAAACTGAATGACTCACTGACTAACCAACCGACTTCCTGATGATTGACCGACTGGAAAACTTGCGCACTCGTTGACTGTCTAATAAACTGGTTGACAGACTAAACGATTCACCGTCTAACTAATTAGCTGATTGACTGAGCGATTGAGAAATTGACTGATTGATTGTCCGAATGACTAGCTGAGCAGTTGACGCACGGTCTGGTTACTAATTGACTTCCGAAAAACTGAATGGCTGAGTGAATAACCGACTGGCTGGTTGACTGACTAAATGACGGACTAAATGACTGACTAAATGACTAGCTGATTGACTGATTGACTAATTGACTGAATGACTGACTGATTGACTGGCTGGTTGACTGACTGACTGACTGACTGGCTGACTAGCTAATTGACTAGTTGAATAACTGACTGAGTGACCGACTGGCTGACAGACTAATTGGCTAATTGACTGACTGACTGGTTGGTTGACTGACTGACTGACTGACTAACTGACTTAAGGAGTGACTGACTCGACGAGCGACCGATTGAGGAATGACTGACTGATTAACTGACCAACCTGCTGGCTGACTGAGTGGCTGATTGAATCAAAGATAGACTCACTCACTCACTCACTGAGTGAATCACTGACTAACTTATTGACTGAATGCATTATAGCCTGCGAAAGAACAAATGGAACACTACAATGTTTCCACCTTCATTTTTGAAAACAGCGACAAATGTTATTAAAAAGACATACCATGACACATTTTGCCTTTTGTTGTTCCTTTTCAAATTTGGCAAATGCTCGCCGGTCCTGAAGATAGAAAGACAACTTGCAAATTTAAATAATGAAGAGAAAAGGTGAGGTTATTGTATCAACCCTTAATAAGGCAATAATGAGCCAAATCGAAGGGTTACATCGCTTTAATTTTTGGTTTTTTAATTTTCCCGGTCTCAAACATTGCAAACCACTTTATCCATAAATTAAGGAAGTAAACTGGGGCGCTGCGTCGTAGGGGGCCGGGGATTACAAAATAATTTGGTCTTATGATCTTTCTTATGATAGCGTGAATTGGCCACCGTAAAGAGATTCTTAAGCCTGACGGATTTACACTGACCACGGGCTAACGCTCGAAATCTCAGCTTTGTAGTCTCTTTACGGTCGCCAAGTCACATAACCAACTCAGTTAGTATTACGGTTCGTCCTAAGCGATGAAGAATATTTAACTCGTTCAACATGAATTATTGAGCTAGGTATCTGAGGGAAGACAATTCCTCATTTCTGTACCCTGGCTGTGCTTCATTAAGACAAGTGCTTGTAGTTTCGGGAATTATTTAAGACTTGTGGATTACAGATTCACAGATTAATCAGCGGACTAATTGCTACTGTTGTATTTCGTCCGACGATTAACGCGTCATTTCGAACTGAGTGATTAGTTGACGAGCAATAGCAATTTTTGCCGAGCAAGGGACGAGGTGATTACCAAACGTCTGAGAAATAACCAAAGGAAATCAGCTGTTGACGGCAAATAGACGTTTCACGCCGAATGCTGCCCGATAAAATTGTAATGAGAGCACAAGTGACCGATATTCTCACCTGTACCGTTGCTAACACTCTCCATATCAGTAAGAGAGCTAAGGCCACAGCGAGAACGGCTCCTATCACGCCTAGAATCACCAACAGGGCCTTCATCTCTGATGGACAGTCTAAAAGAAAAAAAATTATTGTACCGTTGGGCCCAGTTGTTTAAAAGGCGGTTGGCGACAATCCAGGTTTAGAAGCGTACATTGGGGATAACATTTTGAGGGGTTCACCTTAGCCAGAGACAAAACTGAAGTAAAAATATAAATAAATAATTAGTAACTGTCTGCAAAGCTCCAAAACTAAATCTAAAATTTTTGGATAACCCTTGGTTAGCTTAATCGTTCTTTGAACAACCCGGCCCAGGTCGTTTCTACGGAGTCAATCAGGGGTACACAGAGTAAAGGGAATAAGTGTCTAAGTTAAGTATTATCAATGAGTTGATTACGTAAATTGGCCACAGCTTTTAAACTCTCTACGATAACCAACACGTTATCAACTCGTCGATAATACTTAATTACCCAGGGGTACACATAGACTGAGGTAGAAGAGGCCTCGCGACGAGAATTTATTGGAGCGAGGCTTGGAGACTAGGTTTCTAACGTCGGAAGCTATGAGGACAAGATTAACAACGTGAGAACATCAATGGAAAAGAGTACCGTTAAAAGTCACGTAATATGGCATTTTTAATGTGACGATGCAGACTTCGGAAAATCATCATCGAACGATGAATTTACAAGTTACTGTTCAATTGGACGAGAAACCTTATTTACTTCAGATTAAGTGCTGCCACGAATAAGCGCGGCATCTGGGACATAAGCAGTTTATTAGCTTCTTCCAAGAATTATTCCACAAACTGTACTTTGAACGTCCTTGTGGACGGTTCGAACTAAGATGACATGAACTGTTTCAAAGTACTGAGGAACAACCAAGTAGCACTGGAAGGGAAATGCTTCATACGCAGTGCGATATCTTTGGGAACTAGTTGCAATTTCTTTCGAAAGTAAAGATTGAGACGTAAAAGAAGCGTACTCGCCCACTCCGGAGCTTGTAGACTTTAGTCTGAGAGGGGGTTTGCGAGATCGAAGTTAACTGAAGTAAAGACACCGCTGGTAAAGCAATTGAAAAGTGCCGGAAGAGAACTACTGTTTGTTCAATGCAAAAAATGCTAATACACATAGAAAATACATCTTCAGTTAAAAGTAAACTTTTCTTTGTCGAGTCCGATTTTTAAATAAGTGCCGCCCACGGACATGAGCCACAGCGCTTATTCGAATAAATACGGTAGTTGCGTCTAAACCAAAGGTTCACTCTATCCGGCTACGGGCTGAGTGGAACTCCGGTTTCTACTTTTCCTACCACGTTGTATCAGTAATCCTTATTCAAAACAAGAGAAAAAGTCTACAGGATTCGAAAAAAGCGCAATGTTACGTCGTTATTTGACATCACGTGGATTCTTAAAAATATCTTTAGATAATCTAGAATTCAGGAAAAGGAACCAACCTTTATTCCTCTGTGTATAAATCTCCAACTGTCCATCTGCTCTTACCGTGTAGGCAAACCCAAAATAACAGTCATCTTCGTCTCGGAATCGACACTGTTTGCCCATGTCTGGAGGAAATATCAGATTCAAATCGTAGTGGTAGTGAGAGGCAGAATTCACAAATTTCAATTGCAGTTATATAAGAAGAAACAACCAACAATTGGTTAAAATTGGAACTATGATATCATGAAAATGGATTGATTTTTCTTATATGCTCAATGTCGCGTTGGCAAGTGTCACGCAAAGATTTCCCTTAATCAGCTCAGTCCTAGTGTAAGGTATTAACATTCTTTAGCTCAGCTGTATTGAGGGGAAGGGGGGAACACTTTACACATATGTGTATTCACATTACGTTCGATATTACTGCAAGTCTTGCTGAACACCTACCACTCACAAGTCTTAACCCTTTACACTCTAACGTCAGTATGTATATTCTCCATACTATTCTTTATACATTTCTAAAGGTGCTGACAAGGAGAATTTGTTTACCAATCAAAAGCTTCTTTCGTTGGTGATCACTTCCTTTATTCTCATAACCTTAACATATGATTCAGGGCTGATATTGTAGGGAGAAATTTGATGCTGGTCACTCTTGGGTTTAAAGGGTGAAATGAATATATTTAGAAATTGCTTACGGCAACCGTGTAACCTGGAGCTCCCTCCTAGATTATTCATTTAACACCAAATGGAAAGAAAAAAGTATGAAGAATAAGCTGGAAAATGAAGACTGAGATGTTCGTATCCAGAATCAAGCCAGTCTCTTTTAATACAAAAAAAAAACAACAACAACAACAATAACAACAAGAAAAAAACATTAAACATGACTGAAAGGAGTGCTGCAAAAGATAAAGGGGCTCAAATATCCATGCACAATCCTTAAACTGGAATTACAGAATGAGGCAAAAATTACATACCAGATGTTAACTCGTCTACTGCGGTGATTCTAAAGTCTTTACATTTAGCTTTGCAATCCTCTCCCACTAGTTCCCCTGTACCGAACATTCGACATTGCACGCATGGTCTATTAGCTTCACAGTTTCCTATACAACTCTGGAATTTAAAGGGTAATTTAGTATTATCAACTGAGTAAATAACGTAAATTGGCCACCGTAAAATGTTCCAAAGCTGACGTTTCGAGCGTTAGCCTTCGTCTCTTCGTCTAGCTCTGACGAGGGGCTAACGCTCGAAACTTCAGCTTTGAATCTCTTTACGGTGGCCAATTTACGTTATCAACTTATTTTATAACACCTAATTACCCTTTAATGCTCTCCCACCAACGCAGCACCACAGCTTCTCTAAAAACTTACCCTCTTTATTCATCTGAAATTTAAACACATAAACCATAGCCAAAAAACGCAAATGAAGCGTTAGAGTTAGAGAAATTAATGGGTATTTAACGCAGTTTAGCATTCTAGACATTTGAATTTCTTTCTTTGCTTTCCCCACCACTTTGGATCGATTGTATTCTTTTCCTTCAACTTTTCAATCCGCTCTGTATGTTAAAATCTCTTGGCTGTGAATTACTTCACTTACTGGCGATGATCAAAGGTGTCGCCTTGGGGGAAGAGGAATGTCCAGCTTTGCTAATCTAAGCCAAATGTTCTCACCGGGAGTGTATGATCATGGTGGAACAAATTCGGAAAAAGGATATTGCCTGTTTGTGGTTTCAAGACATAGCATTTACAAAACATTGCAACAATTTTATCGATTAAAAATTTCAGCTAGTTGCTCCCGTCGGGGCCCTTAACTAAACTTGCAACACACTACTTACAACCGGCGATATACTCACAAGACACTCATCACAGAAAGGTCCCCTGTAGGGCAAAGAAGCATTACATACGCAGGTTCCACATTTGCAGGTCCCTCGACCGCCACAAAGGACCTGAGGAAATACGTATGCGTTTTTATAGGCAACAAATTGGAGAAAGATATGCTCACAAGTTGCCCGGCCCCCGAGAGGATCGCTAGGGTCGAAGCCCCGACTAAGGTCATCGCCTCTTTCCTTGGGCAGAGCTTCTCTTCGAGGAGGCGTATAAATGGAAAATGTGCTGATGGGTACGGAAACTGCTTAAGGGTCGACCGGCGAGAAACTAGTTATATACACTTCCATCCGAGAAGGATGGCGTTAATACTTCTGGTTACTTTGTAAAGAGACGAACTCTTTTTTTATTAATCACGATGAACGCAAAAGCAAAAGGATAGGACGTCACATATGCTTTCGAGAGTTATTTGATTATCGCCTGCTAGCCTGCTAGCCTGCTGGCCTTACCCCTTTCTTGGTACAACCGTCCAAGTCCTTGCTGCAGCTACACGAAGGTCCACTCCAGTTTTCTTTACACTTACATTGGCCGCAATCACAATCTCCTCGCTCTGTTGGCAAATATCATAATATATCGACAAATACTATAATTTTTGCAAATCGTTGATTTATTTCCCAGTCTCAGCTTCGATCAAATATAAAGACAGAGGATAAGTTTAGCGACCGGAGTAGGGCGCTGAATTCAAATATAGAGGTAAAAGGATAAATCCTTAAATTCTCTTACCTTTTGGAATATTTAGTAATTATTATAACGTGGAATTATATGGCGATCTCCGTAAAAACATAAATGTATATAAATGAATGGGGGGTAGAGTCCACCTTGGCATAAAGTGCTCAATGCTGCGGTAGCAGAGCTAAGTATACATAAGTTAATGAATTAAAGAGGACGCATCGATTCTCTGTGACTGAGTTTCGCGCCTAAACGAAGGGAGCCAAATAGGTGACTGGACTTTCGTACACAGCGACCTAATTCTCCTCTGCGGAGGGCGTCAATTTCAGGTCGCACTGCTCGCAAATAACGTAAGTATCAAGAGATTGCTTTTCTTAATCTCAGTCTTGGATGCTGACTTGTTTCGGAACAGCCGTAAATTCAAGGCTTGGAAAATATAATGGCTCGCTTCATTCCATTTGGAATGTCTTAATAAGTTACTGACTACTGGTTACGATGATAAATTTATCTCACTCTTTTTAATTTGTCTGTTTGGTAATATGTCTATATTTTGAATGAAGTTTTTACTTTTCAAAATTCAGACATAATAAATGTATAGATTATGGGTGGTTTGTGCAACTTTTCCATCCACAATTTCAAAAAATAAAAAAATTATAGCTTCACAACAACTCGGGCGTCACCCACCCGATCCTCCACATATTTCCTCATTTTCAGGATCCTTTGGACAATTCAAATTGTTGCACTCGCAGGTTTCACCATAGATTAATCCTTTGGGATCCTGAATATCAAGGGGAGAAACTAATTTAGTCACTGATTATTCTGCTTGAACGGGGATGTAAAGTAAGACATGATATGGAAATTGTGGGACTCCAACTGAGTATGGCTTTTGAAGTCAGATGACAAAATATTCAAAGTGGAAATGCCGTCTGCCTTTTCCTTGCTCTTTCTTTTTCGCGCGTTGTTTGTTTTACAAACATGTTGCAATCTTTTAAGCTGCGTTCTACATATCAACCAGTAAACGTGGATATCCAAACCCTTAGGGTTCGAGAATAGGAAAATTATGGTATATTGCCTAATACTTATAGTTAGATTAAATATTCCTATACAAGTATAGATCAAATTATGGTACCTGAGTCGTTTGCAAGTTATATGACGACGATGCATTTATCCCAAAACGTTATATCGTTTATCTGGCCAGAAAAATTTGCTCACGGTCGAGTAAAAGGAAAAACTTTCCAGCTCTTGGAGGAAAAGTAATTTTTTTTGCTTCGAATACGGGTTCTTCACTACCACACGCGCTGCAAAATATAACACACTGTTTCACGTGCCCACAATTTTATCCCTGCCAAAACTCGTTATAGCTTTGAGCTAGACTCATTTTGAAACCTTATTGTCACCATGCAAACACCAGAAAAGATCACCTTGGTGTCCTCACAGTAACATTTGCCACAACTGCATGATCCTTGACCACTGCACACGTCGCCATTATTGCTATCAATGGTTAAATGGATTAAAGTAGAGTTAGTACATGTAAAGTCCTACATTTTAGCGTCTGAATATAGCTAAAGAGTCGTTTATCAAATCTCTGTGCGCCAAACCTTAAGAAATCATAAGATCTTAACGGCTTTGCTCTAGGATTCAGTAATGTTAGCAGCTACAGTCATAAAAATCTCCTGTATAAAAGTAACAATACCCTTCGTTTAAAGGAGCTCCTAAGAATTAAAGACCTATCTACCGAAATACGAGAAATATGCACGGCGTAGAAAAAAGAAGAATCAAAGTGCTCTGTGAGCAAACTCGTGAATTGACACATGATTTTTTAGATTACGTTTAATGTTATCTGGTTTAGGGAATTTTGTGGTTGATTGCCATATCTAGAGTACGAGCAGTAGTTCAGTGTTCGCTAATGTAGCAAAGAAACAAAGTAACGTTGGGATAAGAAGGCATTACAATTTAAATGATCATGCTATTACATTTGACAAGGTGGATGATGTCATGTGTTTTAAACGTCTATCATTTTTGTTTCAAAAGAAAAGGTTGGAAGTAAATGTGGGTGAAAAGTGAAATTTACTGTCTTTCGTTGTAAATATTAGAAAATCAAGGCAATACTGTCTTAATGAAAACCTTAACGATTCCCTCTTTATCAAATGAGACAAACGGGAACGAGGTTTGAGTGATATAACTAAGCCAAGCCTGCCACCATCATTTTGGATCTCCGCCTGGGTAGATTTAAGTCACGTGCTAGGCAACGTATAATCAATAACAAGATAGAATTTCATTTCAGGCCTATTTATCAATTTTGTGGTGTGTAACTTTCGCATTTTAGTACTTTGTATGTATGAATCTTCAAATTGTCTTGAAACTTAAAAGAAAATTGTTCTTTAAAAATCCACTGAAAATCGGTAGCTAAAATTGTTTGTTTAGGTGTTATTTGATTTTCGTGTTAACTTGTTATTTCGTCAGTCGCCGGCATCTTCTGTTGTTTCACACAGGAAAAACACACGCGATGAAACGTAATGATCAATTTTGTCCTCAATCTCACGCTATAACAGAAAAAGCTTTTGAACATCTGTAAACTCCGAGCGCTTCGCAGTAAGTGATATTTTCAACGAATCTTCGGATTGTTTTCAAGTTCAAGGATTGTAAATTACAATTTTGTGAAAAACGAAGGTTGTTGCATGCCTGCCAGTCGCTGGCGCCGCTAGTTGAAACTTAAACGAAAAAAAAAAACTCTTTTAAGATTATCATTGGCTTCTTTTTCACCCCACCACTATTCTTAGCAACAAAGGTCGCCATTTCGTCTGTTTATTGCTCGCCAAAAACTATCAAATGCACTCAAAAGCCTAAAATCTAAAAAAAGTTTACAGGAATCGACCAATCGAGCGAGCGAGCGAATGCCATTCCCCACATCGTATCTATAACTCGCTCTTGCGCATGCGCGCAATTCACGAGTTAAAAAAAAGCAACAAATAAGTCAACCTGTACTTGGATGACATTACTGTGACAACATCTATCATCGAAGATATCATTCTAGAGTTACCCAGCCAAACAAAAAATCGCTACCTTTGACAATTTTTTCGCTCTTCCTCCTCTGTGCACGAACAATATTCACCTGCCCTAGGAACAATAGTATAGATTAGGAATTACGAAAATTAGATCAAGATGATATTGTGTACCACCGTACATTCAAAATTCTTAATCTAGGTGATTCCTGGATATAAAACGTTAAGATAACCTTCACCTCACAAAAGGAAAAACGACTCATGGCTTCATTCGATTAACACTTAGAGTTACGGTTTCAGGAAGGGTGGGTACATTTCAGGGTAATGCTATGCTAGTGGTTGTTATATCAAAGTTGTAATCTGAGAACTTGGTATCACAAAGACGGCACTGCCAAAGATATGGCACAAACTCTGCCAAATGTGTTAAACTCACCATCCATCTTCACAAGAACACATTCCACACTTTAACGATCCCCTGTGATTGCAAATTGTGCTATTGGGTTCCTGAGAAAAAGTTTTCGTGGCGTGTTAAATGGCGATTAAAGCAAATCTCTACTACCTACTTGCAATGCGCGGATCTGAAAATTGACGATTTTTATCGACGCTATGCCACTATGGAGCTGAGGAGAAGAGAGCATCAAAGAAGGAGACGTCACCCTTATATAAAGGCCTATAAAGGCCTCATTCAAATAATGGCTTTAAAATGGGGGGTTCAACCTCAAGAAAAGATCTTCTCTTACGTTTACTAACTCTCTATAGAGGCGAAAAAATAAAGAACTCTGATTTACATGTCTAAAACGAAAAAACTGGTGTCTGAAAGACAATACCTCCTCTTGCGGTAGACGCTGAAATTCTATTCTTTGCACAATGAGTGGATTAAGTGCTAGACTATTTCTAATTGGACTAAAACTTGACTTTTATCTAGCAGTCAATGCTGACGACTAGTTTATGAGATGACAGAAAGATGGCGTCAAAGCTTGGAAAATGAATTAAAGGCCAGTCAATATTTATTGTCGGGTGGGTGGGGATGGCCGGAACTTCTTTAGTGGGATTTCACATGGATCACAGGAGATAAATAATGACCAGTCTCTAAAATCACACGACTCAGGTAGATTAAAATTGATAAAGTCTTACCAGAATTTCTTCTGCTTCACAGTCACAACTGCACACATAAGATAGCTTCAAAAAAACTTGTCCGTAAGGAGTTTTGATGGAAAAGCTGCAAAGAGGAAACTTGGCCGATTTAAATATATAGAAAGAGTTTTTTGTTGGAACAAAATTATAGATAAGCAAATAAATGTAAAAATCAAAAAACAAATAAATTCTTGAATGAACGAGGCAAAGACGCTTACTTTGAAGGCAAATCGTCCGTGCAGTTGGCCATCGAGACTGATATCTTGAAAGATACCTGAAAAAGATGATAATTATATTTTACTTTTTGTTTTCCGTTTAAAAGTTGTTTAACGAGTTGTTTAATTTGAAAATTTCCGTTAATTGGATTATAAATGAACCGTAATATGATGATACGCATTTGTAATCTGTCTACCTATCTATCCGACTGACTAACTGACTGACTGACTGACTCTGATGTAACTTATTGCCTCACTGAGCCACCTATTGGTATGGATGATAGCATGATTTCGAGTGCAGTATGTTATTAATAAGCAAGAGTAAATTTTTCAAAGACAACAAAATTGTACGAGCCCGTGGGGCGATTTCAATTTGTATTCTTTGTAAAATTTATCAATGCTCAATTACACCAAATTGCACGAGAAATCATGTAGTTACTTGTTAATAATGTTTATGAAAAACGCAACACAGAAAGTCAAACGGACGAAATTTTGGCAGTGCGCGCGCTATTTGTAATTTGAATTGTGTGACAACTTTTGACTGTTTAACGAAAAATGCACTCGTTTTCACCCAATCAGACGCGCGTAATTTTTTCATGTATAGTATTATTTCACCTACCAACTGACTTACTCTATCACTAACTGACTTAGAAACGAATCAAGTTTGATCAATACATCTTTACATAATTGAAGGATGCAGGTGAAAGAGTGAAAGTGAGACTAAAAAATGGTCCATTTACCGTATCTCCTAATTCTACGCCTGTGCAAGTTCTCGTGTCTTCGTAAATTTCACCCTTGCTAAGAAAAGATAAAAAGACGCATTAAATATATTAAGGAAGTGGGGTCAGCTTTATTGAGGATAAACTCAGTTGAAAGAAATCAGAAGCTTGATTTTGGTCGACTTGATATTTTGAGACCATGGTGGCTAAAGGAAGCCGCGCGAGTTACTTTTAGTCAAGTGATGTCGTGATGAGTCATTATTTCCTGTCAAAATATTCCACTTTGAAATGAAGTGCTACTTACGGACAGACTGCAGTGTACCGAAGGATGAGCCCGGCAGAATTAGTATCTCGTATCGTCACTGTGCGGGCGATTTTCTGGAAATATGAGAGTGAAATAACAGATGAGTAACTCTTTTAAAAAAGGGGTCGATATTTGCACCTATAACTAGAATTAAGATGCCGAGAAGATTTTTAAAACTGATCAACATTCAACTCAAAGGTCTTTCCCTAATAATTATTTAAATTTTTTTATTTTTTACCGCTAAATTTTGCGATGAAAAGCTGTCCAAACAATTTACTTCAAAGGTCTTTCAGTTGCTTATCGTGTTTCAACAGCTTTGGTTATAACTACTGACCTTATACGCTTCGCCAATCACACGCACAATGTTTGACGAGTCCTCTAAAAGCTCCCCTGTCTCGGCGTAGGTTTCGTTACCTAAAAAGTTTGCCAGTTGCTAAAAAAAGGAACAAAAAATTAGCAGAAGTTGCATTAAATCCACTAAAACACCCTGTGGCCGGCACACAACTGGGATACAAGAGGCGATTATTCAATCATTCGGAAGGAGTCCGAGTGACGTTATCTTGTATTTGAGGATCTACTTTGCTTCCAAGAACTTCTTTGGGCGACTGGGTCAAACTGGGAGAAGGGAAAGGTGGGATAGAGTTCAGTTGCCAGGTTCTCACTGCATAGAAAAAAAACTTTTGATACATGTTCTACACTTCTCTTCACTCTTTGACTCCCAAGACCTGATATTTAACTATCGCTTCAACTTCAGTTAGACATTTCCTTGTAAATTAGTTAGGATAGTTTGATGTTAGATTAAGATGAGGACTTCTACCTGATAAGTGTGAGTATTCTCAATGGTAGTTTGTTGGATAATGTATGGGTATCACAGGGAGAAATCACATTATAATCACCTCTGGGAGTTAAAGGTTTTAAGACTTTTGTTCATGTTCTGATTTATGAACACAAGAAAGTTTATTTTATGTATTTAATTCAGTGTGAGACGAGAGAGTGCGTCTTACTTCTGTATATAAATAGGTGTAGAATAAATAATTCACTCATGTGCAGTAGACAAATATAAATGTAACTAAGACATCGCATTACCCGCTCAGTAAGAAAGTCAAATTGGGACAAGTGTGTTTTTTTCTCGGCCTTGCAATACTTACAGCTCATAATTCACACTTAATTTGAAATTATAAGCATGTTTTTAAGGATTCAGTCAACCTCTTTGATACGTACTTCATACACTTGTTTTTCCTTGGATGCGACAGCGAAAATTGGAACTACTTGCGACTCAAGTAAAACATCACGGACCAGTCCTGGGGATGGATAATCCTGCAATAGAAGCGGAGAACTTACTTTGAAAAGCTAGCCAGTAGGCAGCATGTATCATTAAAAGTTTGTACGTGACTCGTGATTAAGACTACAATTGAAATGCGACTCGTGAATTTTTACAGAAGGGCAAGGTATGGCGAAATTTGACATTTTTCCTTTTAAATTTATGAATCGCAAAATACTGTTTAAAGTACACGTGACACGTGAATTTTTCTAAAAATTCGCATGTGAAACGAGGCCCTCACTTTGCTACCAACTTTCAAGACCTACCATGAGCAATGAAGCACTGTATTCTTCGCCGTCCAAATGGCAAAGACCATCGTTAGGAATAACGACTCCGCCAAGCTGTAAAAAGATGACGTGATACGAAGTTTAGTGATACAACATGACGTGAGGTACCTTAATGTAGCATAACGCCAACGTCGAATAATATGGAGTACATTAACTCTTACCAGACCGTCTCCAGCAGAGTGATAAGCTGCATCAGTCGTTAGCACCACTACCCTTCGTGCATCCTCTTTACTTTGCCAACCGATCTCCTAAAGTGTAGAAACCTTTTTCACTTTAATAATAAGCAAATTAGACAGAATCTAATTAGGACAGAACCCGATGGAGGACGGAAGTGGTTAATGGCCTATGCTCCAATCGGAGCTAAGGGAATATATATATAATATAATAAGCAAATTTTAAAGTTACTCTTTACAGTGGCCAATTTATGTTATCAACTCAGTTGATAATACTAAATTACCCTGTTATACCCTCCCATCAACGCAGCACCACAGTTTCTTTAGAAACTTAACCCCTTCATTAAAATTGATATGACCTGGCAGTTCAAGGTTAAAGTGCCAAGTTGCATGTATCATCTATTGACAAACCTTTTCACATGCAGCCACCTGAACGAGAGCCTCCAAACCTCCCTCGGGATTGTCAACATTTCCGGAAGCCATCAGTTTTTCAATAGCGTCCTGTAAATATGTGCATGTATACTGTTCAATGTACCTGATAAATAATTGTTTTATCAGCATGCATAATGACTTTGCGAGATAGCGTCAGGCCCAAGATGCCAGACAAGTGAAAGAAAGTTTGAGTAGATTTTCCTTGTTCTAAGACATACCTGAAAGTAAGATGTATTCTTGTTCAGCGGCAACACATTATGATAACCAAACGTCGGAGTGGAATTCCCATTATTTGGGTCAGGCGCAGCAACCCTTTATGGAGAGGAAGACAAAAAGGACACAAGAACGCTTGTTAATAAAATCACGAGATCATAATAGACAGATAGAAAGCCAACAGAAAAACATACAAACATATAATCGGATGAAAGGACACATACAGAGATGGAAATGTAGTTTCTTGCATCCGTTGATTGTTAAAGTTGACTCCGCTCGTTCAGTTCCTCAGGTTACTATGCTTTTGTTATTTATTTTATCCGACCTCCTTGTGTTTTACCCTCAGTGAGAGCTACAGCACACATCATTTCAAATTCAGGCCCAAAGAGTCAGCAGGAATATAAATTTTAAAGAGCTCTGATAAGTGTTGCTGTACTTCTGCTTAAAATATCATCGTTGAGACAAATTGACCAAAACGTTGACCATGTTGTTTGTTATTTATACCCCTCTACCCCTCCTCCACCCTTTACGTACAGAGAGTCACTAAACAACTTGACCTTTAGATACTTACATCACGGGATCTGTGTCCATATATGGAGCTGTGGGCTTGTCAACAAATGCACCAAGTCCAAGACGAAACCTTGAAGTTAGATTTGAAATCTCATCCGCTGTAAAGACAAAATGCCAGCACCCATCCATTTAAAATCATTTTTGAGAGGAGATGAAATTTCTTCAACAAGAGAGTAAAGGATGGCTTGCTAAGGACGTGTCACCACAATATTACTAGAAGCCAGAAAGAACGAACAAACTTACTGAAGTACAGGGAAGTGCAAATGAACAAGTCTACATTATAGTTTTTAGTTTTGGAGTTGGTTTTTTAAGAAGACGGTGCGAGTTTTCAGGACAACTGCTGAATGAAATTGGGCAAAACTGATGCAATCCAGAATTACTTTGATGAGTCAACGCCTTGTCTCTCGGTTTCTCGATAGGCTGATTACAAAATAGATCAGTTCTACAAGGGCGAAAAGAATCTCCCATGAAGCTACCAACTCTGAGAAGGATTGGCGATTAGCTTTATTGTCCAGAGTAAGAGAGCTATGCATGATACGAACAGACAAACATTTGCCGAGTGTTGTTTACCTAACAGGTGTCCAAGTGATTTTATTGATTCCTTTTTGATAGACCTCGATACGTCCGTCAAGTAATACAAATCAACTGGGAAGTTCCTTGGGGTGTGGACATTTACTGTGATAGCCGTGGAAATTCCTGCCATGTGAAAGTACAATTTCAAATTGTCAACTACACGAGATTACCGTGACTGCGAAGATATCAAATTTCTCGTAGCTCTTACTGTTTTGGAATAAAATAGGAGACGATTCCGCCACAGAATTCAAAGACATTTCAGGCGGCTGTCACTCCTGACATCCATAGAGACGGCGGCCGCCGCAAATTGCATATTGGTGCAACTTCGTCCAAAACGAAGTTGGAAAAAGTTTGGCTGCCGTCAAAAATCGTTCTCAACATTACCCAGCGTTTCCTCAAACTTCCGGCGTACACAATAATGTTCTTTTCGTTTATCCTTCAAATTCAACATCGTTGAGAGCGTTCACTAAGTATCTGCATCAAGGGTGACGGCCCTCGAGTCCGCATATTGTACCTGAAATGTTGCATGTGTTGAGCCACTAAGTTCCAAATATCTTCGAACAATGTTGGATTCAACAATGTGTCATGATGTGGAATCTGTTGTTGTCCGTAAGACAAAAATATTTCAGCAACGAACCAAAAAATCAATTGGCCCCTTAGTGTAACAACTTTATCTACAGTATGAGGTATTGTACCTGGTCTAAGACGTAGTGTTACATTCTGAGGAGAAACTTTGACATCACGGTCACCGTCTGGCTCGTTGTTCTGAAAACAAACATTGATAATAGCTCTTAAGTGTATGTAGCTAAAAAGAGAAGGCTTAACACTAGCTAGAGTGACGTAAGAGGTATGTCGATTACATTCCCTAATTGACTGATACAAGTCAATCTAATTTTTAATTTTTTTTTAATGCAACTTGTTTGGAAATAAACAAAGACTGCATGTGGCTACTGATGCAGCACAATTTTTACAGCGTTGAAAAGAACTAGAGGTTGTATAATGACGCTAAAAGGTAGTGTTGCAGAATATTTGTCTCACATGGAAAACAGAAAACCTGCCGCACCCCACATATTTATGAGTGCCTTGTTCCAAAAGAGAAAGATGATTAATGAATGTAGTGACTTATTGACAAAGATTCGACGAGTCGAACCTTTATCTACAGATACATATTCATCCCTGTACCTAGCTTACCGAATGAACTGTAGATCCTGATCCTGGATTAGAGATCTTTCGGCATTTATTCTGTTGATGGTTGCTATGAAGGTCGCATCTCCTTCTCGGTTGATCTAAATAGTGATAATCCTATATTTATATTGAAAGGAAAGAAAGACAGAAAAAAACATAAGAGCAACCAGAACAAGAAACATTGCTTCAGAAAATTTTTGAAAATCATTTTCTAAAAACAAGTGGAATATCCACCATTAGTGTATACCACAAAAGTCAAGAGGGCTTTTAGCGCTTTTAGTACTTTTTGTCTCCACGGGTGAAGAATTGTTAATTATGGATAAAGTCTTAGATTAAGGCAATTTTCTCCTCTTTTATCTCCAGGTAGGGATGTTCGAAGTAGTAGGGCTCTGTGTGGCATTTGAAAAAAAAAAAATCCCAATTACTCTTATAATCATAATTTTGAACTACCTATGAGCCCGCAGTACTTAGCGTTATTTCAAGGCAAGCTAACTGGCAAAACATTGAACATGCGTTGCATGCATTTAAATCTAATGTTGACCCAAAGGGTCTGAGAGAAAATAGACTCCAACAAAGATAACAGGCCTGGTTAAGAAAAAAAAAACAGCTGTATTAAAAGTTGTGCAGTACCAAGAAGGAGAATATGGCCAAACTTGCTAAGAATGAAAACGGATTACATTTTATAAAGACTTTCCACGGAATAAAACTATCGAGCTTACGCGGTCTTCACACCAACTGCACTCTGGACTACCCAAGATGCATTCTGTACATGTTTTGTACTGTCTGCAGTCAGGATCTGTAGAACCTAGAGAGAAAGATAAGCCACAACTAAACAAGGACACCGAAAAGTGAAATGTGTCCCCCGCACCTAAACTTAAAAAGCAAAAAGTGAAAAAAAGAAAAAGGAACAATAAACGAGCATCTTTCTTTATCACTGAGAGGACTCTGTTAAACAACGTGTGAACTGTAATATAACAAGTTGTAACTTTATTAGACAAAGAAAAATATGAGCCAAAAAAGTTAGTATTCGATACTTCAAAACTTGTCCAATGCGAATATGCAGATTGCGCATAGAAAATTGAACAAGATGGAAAATCATTTAGTACGATAATTCTTATTCGAAATGCTCACTAAAATCAATCTTGCTACGGCTACATGGATTAGTGTTTTTTTCTCTTGAAGTCATCGTTTCATTATTGTCATTGTAAGAAATATTTTCATCATCATTATTACTATGATAATCATCAACGTCATTACTTGCATCGTTATTATTAAGTAAGTATAATCAAATCATCAGCAAAAATTGGATTTTTCATATTGGACGGTTAATGGTAACGTTTTTCACCGTTTGACGATAGAGAATCGACGCTTAACTGATATTGTCTTCTGCGGAAAAAAATCTTTCTCAATACAGCTGTATTCAAAAAATGAATTTTTGTGTTATGCTCACCTTCGCATAGAAAACCACACAGTAAAAGCTGCGAGAACACTACTCTCGCTCCCTTCAACATGTCTCAGCATAAAATAATCATAAAATAATCTGCAAAAGAATGGGCACAATGTGATAAACAATGTTTTCATAAATGGAAATTTTTGTACTATTTTTAAGGAAAACAATTTTAAAAGTGTGGTTGGTAAAAGCAATCCATCAAGAAATTGTTGTTTAAATATGACGAAGTCATTTCGAACCGCTGCGAAAAGCCTTCGACCGTTTTTTTCAAACCTTTGTACTCTGAAGTCACATTTAGAATTCATCCATTGAGCTATTGGTAGGCCTCCTCGATGGCCAGCCGTCTTTGCGCAAGTGAGGAGAACCAGCGACACTGAAGAGCTCGACAGATACATGAAAGGCAACTCGATAGGAAACTATTTGGACTATTTGATTGTTTTTGTCGGTTAAGTTTATCATAAAATTCCTCACCGATTTTTAACAACTAAAATCAGCTCGAAACCATTTGTTTTCGTATCTGTAGATGATAAACATCTCACATATATTTCCACCACAAATTCCTTTCGTGTTTTCCCTTTAAAATTGATGCTGGCATTCATTTCGACAAGAAAAGACTAAACGAATACTAGATTACATACAAAAACATCTTACTTTCGACCATGGTATTTATTTAGACACTGCCCGCCATAGAAACCAACATTTCAACACTTTCTGCTTCATAAACAAGTTGAATTGGAACTAACAGTTTATCAAGTATCTCAACTTTTATACGTTTGTCCTTTCAACTAATGGAGCCTAAATATTTTGGATAGACCCGTCGTTAAAGTTTCAATTACATTCATCACTAAATTTTCGACTGGGTTGACCTTCACGACATGATCTGATACAATTTTGACGCCAACAGGTCAGGTTTCGTCAAAGAAATATTTTCACGTCTCAACAAACAACAACGAATATTTTGAAAGTCTACAATAATTTATCGATAAGAAAACAAAGCAGCCCCCTTGGAAGGATGTTTCGGGGGTTAGTTATCAAAGTTTGAAATGAATTGTCAACCGTTTGCCAGTAGTTGGTGCTCGTTTTTTTTTACCCTATGGAGGGGTGAAAGCTCTTATCAACGATCACAAAACGAGGTTGAACTCATTTACTTGTTTACTCCGCCAATACTTCGTGAATGGGTGGAGGGAAAGAGGTTGGAAGTCTTGCAAACGAGTTTACCGAACGCTGCAAAATGTTACAAACTAAGGAAATAAAATGATCTGAGAAGAACCATCCCTCGATTTCCGAAAAATTAGTGATTAAACATTTTCGCAGCGGCCATAGTTAATAACGGGCTTCAAGGTCATATCACAGCATGTCCATGTCAGAATCACGAGATGTGTTCCCTTTGCGTCCGCCAAAATATTGATCTTGGTTGGGTTTCTTTTGTTGGAATGGTAACAAAAAATTTGGACGAAAGTCAGCATTTTCGCATCGAACAAGGCTACGAAAAGGTTTTATTTCAAAAGCTAAATCGATTTTTCCTACCAGGCTTAAGGCCAAAGCTGATTATTTGATAGAATGAGTTGGTAAAGCCTAGACAACTGTTTGCACGGAATTCTGCTTACGTCAGAAGTAACAGTTTGTTTATAGTTACGGGAAGAAAGGTG